TGCCTGAGCCTTACAAAGTGTCTTACAAAATGGGCTCACCTAGCTTTCAATAGTCCAGCTGATGTCTAACTTGCACAAAATAAATCTAAAAGGGGTCTCCATAACCTAAAACATAAAGTGTGGTCAGTAGTAGCCCCTGACTTGACCTGATTTCTTGGGTTGTGGTAGAGGGAAGATCCATCCTCCCTCCCCTGGCTTCTATATCTGTAATCACCTCAGAGAACAAGCACTGGTGAATATTTTCTTTTCTATTTTGTGCTATTTCTGATTTATCCAGGCTGGTTCTGATCTAATACTAATGCAAGAAATAGCATGGACTATTCAGAAACAATCATAGAGGGATGGGGCTGGATAGAGATTGACTGGAAGGCTGTTCTAACCATAAGGGGCAGAGTTAAAGAAGGCACAGAGTTAGGAGTAAGGGAAAGTTAGGTGTAGGCATGAGCACTGGGGGCTGAGGGAGACTTGTTGCCTGCCACCCCTACATTTTTACTCTCCTGTTGATTGAATCCCTCCATATGGCTGTACAGCTCAAGAATTCTCAAACTGGTTTCCCTAAGTATTCTTAGGTAGTTGAGTCTAGGACCCCAACCTTCCCTTACTTCTCCAGGAGAGTGGATGCAGGAGGTAGGAGCAATGACTTACCAGCAGGAGGAGGGGCCATTTTCTCAAACTTGCTGTCCCAGCAATTGCCTTATTACTGACATTTACATGGGATTCACTATCGAGTTAATCTCTGTCTTTGCATTATGCAGCTGGTGATGCAATGTCTCATGGGCCAGGAAGAGAAGAAACTAAAAAGGGGATGGGAAGATTAAAGCCAGGGACATGGCAGGAAGTTACATTTGGTCAAAATGGAAAATAAAAGGGGTGGGCTCAAAATAAGAAGGGGAAAGGATCAAATAGAAAAGGTTTCAAACTAAAAATGGAGCAAATAGGTTAAAAAAAAATCCCTCATGTTTAATCCCTGTCCCTAATTGTCTATCCTTTCTCTATGTAGCCCTTCTGCCAGGTGGCGTTGGCAGCAACAGGGCTGGGTTCAGTATCTACTTAGCAATACAATACAGAACCGGCTCAAGCCACCACCCCATAACCTGGGAAAACTAACCACCACCTCTGGGCACCTCTAAGAAGCAATGCTTCCCCTCTCGCAAGCACTGCGGCCCTGTATAGCAAAGAAAACTTTTAATAAAAAAGGGAAAATAACCTGACTTGGGAAAACACCACAACCATGATTCAAAAGCATATGACCATGTGTAAAACACCTACCCCAGAGTACGTTGGGCAGTGTCCTTTGCCTCAGTTTCTCACCTTGTGGTGTGAAAGTCTGACAAACAAATGTTCCTTTAACATGCCACTCCCTGCTCCTCCACTGCAACCCCACTCACACTTGCTGTCCTTGGTCAGCCAAGACCCAGAATTCAGAAGTGCATTCATGTGTGTTCACATCCCATTGAGGAGCAGAAGGAGTGGGGAAGGGGAGCAAGGCATCAAGCAATGCCTCAGATGCTGCTGCCACGCCGTTTACTCTGCGTCGCTGCCTGTTGCCGTGCAATCATTCACTCTGCCGCCGGCCACTGTGCCATCGTTCACTCTGCTGCCAGTGGCTGCTTGTGCCATCACTTTTTCTGCTGCCACCAGCCTCTCTACTGCAACCTCTGCAATGTCTTGAGGTCCCACCACTTAATATAGCTCTCAGGGATTTCAGCAGTTATTGGGGGAATCTCACTGTTCGTGCAGGCTGAGTTGGCGCTTTCACTGAAAATGCTGTCACAAAGCAGATCCAAGGCTTAGTATTTAGACCTTGTTTTCAGCAATTTCAGTTCTAGGGATCACTGAATGGGGCAGAACTGTGGAGCCCTTATTTCCCTGAGGGACAAATTCCGACTACACTTCCACATCTGTATAAATTTTCTGTTTCACCCAAATCGTGCTTTCACCCCTGAGGCTTTGGAGGATATTTTTTGTAGTTCTTGTTGCACAATGATTTTATGGCTAAAGAACAGATTTATTTCATTGCTAAACTTATTCACCATAAGGCTGGTTACACCACTGTAACCTCTCACTGCCCAGTGAAGTTGAGCTTTTGCCAACAACTCCACCAACTTGTACTGCGCCAGCCATGCAGGTTTTCATTATTGGTGGCTGGGTAACAGTTTCTGTTTTGTCTGGCATTTATTTCACTGCCTTGAGTTTGAGGTTATATCAGAAGTGAAAGAATTAATTTTAAAGTACCATGCATACCTTAATCTGCAATTTAGCCATTTAGGTGAGCTGTCAAGTCTTGAATGGTGGCTTGGTCTGAATTAAAAACAAGAGTAAAAGCTTCTAGTTGTCCATGGAGGGGTGATTTAATAAAGGATCACTGATGCAGAACTGTGCAAAACAACCCTTGTTATGTACTTTAAAGTCACTGGAAGCTGTTAAAATTTCAGTGTGGGAGGCATGGCTAGCTAGTTTGGTATTATTTATTTGGAGTTTAAATGTCTGCAACTAGTGTGATCCAAGAACCACCCAGCTGGGACTAGCAATGCCATGAAAGGAAATGCAAGTCACTGCCTGGAAGGAGGTGGGGGGAGGGGGGAGAGAGAGAGAGAGAGAGAATTTGAATGAATAAACCAGAATGTTTTTCATATTGTTGGCCAGCAGATACTTCATGTATATGGAAGTAAATCTGAAACAGACAAGCCTGGCCCTGTGGCAAGTATGTGACGGTGCACCCCATAAGCTTTATGGAAATATGCTTATGAATGTATATATGACACAACTGGAATATTTTTATGCTACATATGCCACGTAACATATCTCTGTAAAGGTTATGATCTACTGAATCTATTCATCTTATTTGTATGCATGTATCATTTTTGTACCCGAAGTTATGAATATTGGCTGTGTACTTGCTTGAATTTTAAGTAGCCTCAGTAAAGCATTTGGTCAGCTTCTTGAGAAAGGAATGTGCAAATTAAGTGCCCAATCAAGAAACACTTAATGAACAATGGATCTTGGAAGGCTCCAATCCACATAAGAAGTCTTCCTGCAGACATTCAAGATAGCATGTGGGCAATGGCTGCTGCCTGTAAAAACCTGAGTCGTGCATGGACATGTGACTTGCCCAGGTGACTCCCAAGCTCCATCTTGGAGCTGGACTTTGCATAGGAGAGAGGAGGGGGTCTCCACCCACAAGAGAAAGTCTATTTAAGCCTGTGGGAGACCCCTCCATTTTGTCTTCAGCTGGCTTAAGAGACAGCCTCTCCACCCCAAAGGATACCTGAAAGAAACTGGAACAAAGGACAGTAAACACAGGGGGTGTAAGTGATTGCTGGACCCAGACTAGAAGGAGACTAGTCTGTAAAAGGAAGCTTACTGGAATACCTCTGAGGGTAAGGTTTTATCTGTTTTCAGTTTTCTTACTGTATTAGGCATAGACTTGTGTGTTTTATTTTATTTTGTAATTTACTTTGTTCTGCCTGCTATTACTTGGAACCACTTAAATCCTACTTTCTGTATTTAATAAAATCACTTTTTACTTATTATTTAACCCACAGTATGTATTAATACCGGGGGGGGGGGGGGACAGCTGTGCATATCTCTCTATCAGTGTTATAGAGGGTGAATAATTTATGAGTTTACCCTGTATAAGCTTTATACAGGGTAAAACAGATTTATTTGGGATTTGGACCCCACTGGGAGTTGGGCATCTGCTTTTTTCAGTTAAGCTTGCAGGTTGTGGGACTGGGTTCAGACCTGGATCTGTGTTTGTGGCCGTCAAGCATGTCTGGCACAACAAGGTAGGGCTCTGAAGTCCCAAGCTGACAGGGAAAGCAGGGGCAGTAGTAGTCTTGGCACATCAGTTGGCAGCCCCAAGGGAGTTTCTGTGATCGAACCCGTCACAGTGTATATGGGGCAAAGGAATGTTTTAAAGACACTGTCGCTTTAAGTGTAATTATTTTCTGTCTCTGGGAAAGGGAAGATTGTTAAAAGGCTGATTGTACAATTATGCAGGCCAAAGAGGGCTGCACAAAACTTGGCAGCTGTGTAGGTGCTCAAAAATGTCTGGGAAAGCTAATTTTGTGGGATTGTCTGGACAGAAACTAGAAGGCTGGGTAGGTGGAAGTGGCAGGGGGAAGCTGGGGGTGAGCTACGAGAAGTTGGGTTTGTGAGGTTGGAGGTTTGGAAAAACTGAGGGTGTACTTAGATTTGTGGGGGGAGAATTTGAGGGAGATGCGTGTGTGTGTAAGGGAACATTGGGTGACTGGAGGGGGGATATTGAGGAAGCTGGAGGGGGTCTGGGGTGGCTGGGTCCCCTGGACCTCCCTTCACTTGCTGCGGCTTGCTTGGTTCTCCCCACTGCTCTACCCCTGCACAGATCCAGCAGAGGGAGCAGTGAGACAGATGCTGTAGGACTGCAGGCACCATAGTGGCCTCTGGTGGCTCTGAGCTGTATATGCAGGCTATTCAACCTGAATGTGGGACAATCAGATAGGTCTATGCAAATTAAGAGGCTGGGTTGGAGTGACAGTGCAATTTCTTAAGGGCCCCACACAGCTCAAGAGGGCCCCACATTGTGGAGATACTGCAGTTAGGACCACTGATCCCCCATTATTCCTGCTTTGGGTTCCCAATGGACTAGCACCGGCTCTGGTGGCTTGCATGTATCAGTGCAAGGTTCATACGAGGTGCATGAAATTGAGTAGATCTGCTCTTCTGCTAGATTTCAGTTTCTGCTAGAGTTAATAGGGGTGCAATATAAAAGCCTGATTGTAGTAGGCCAGAAATATTAACGCTTGTTTGATATTGTAGCTTAACAGACTAGGGTAGCTCTTTAAAGTAGGGATAGGTGATAGCTTATAATATTTTGCTATTTTTTTCCATTATAAATTCTGAAATAAAAAGCTACAAGCCCATTTTCCCCACTTAATGGCATCCTTAACTAGTTCAGTTGTTTTCAGTATATAATTACCCTGCAATCATTATAGATTCAAAACAGTATCAAACTAACACACAGCAAAGAATGGTTATTTATTGCTACTACAAGTTACATACACTACGAATTACAATTTTATGCAATATATTGTATGCTTGTCCTCCACAAACACGTCAATTTAGATCCATCATATGTCTTTGGTGGTGGTGGTATATTTCCTTGTATATTGCAATACAATATTAAAAGTGTGTGTGGGAGAGGGGGTAAGAATTCTCATTTTCTGCCTGAAGAGAAGGTTATTCACTCTGTGCAGTAACTGAAGTTCTTTGAGATGTGTGTCCCTGTGGGTGCTTCACTTCAGGCGTTGTGTCCCAGGACCCAGATTGGAGATTTTTGGTAGCCGTGCCTGGTCAGGGTGTGAATGCACAACAGCCGTCTCGTAATGCCACTGGCACGTCATCTAGTGCTCGTGCATCCTGACCCCCTCAGTTCCTTCTCTACTGTAGAGTCCTTAAAGCAAACTCCAAAGTAGAGGGGAGGAGGGTGGGTAATGGAGCACCCACAAGGACACACATCTCGAAGAACCTCAGTTACTGCACAGGGTAAGTAATTGTCTCTTCTTCTTCAAGTGCTGTCCCTATGGGTGCTCCACTTCAGGTGACTGTAGAGCAGTGCCCTCACAAGGATGGAAGGGACTTCGGATTGAGGTTCATTGCTGAGGCTAGTACCATGAGGCCTCGTCTTGTGTCTGAGCTTGAACCGAGATTAACACATAGTGGTTTGTGAATGTGTGTTTGGAGGCCCAGGTGGCCGTGCTGCATACGTCTAGAATGGAAATGTTGTGTAGGAATGCTATGGAGGTAAATAAAGCTCTTGTTGACTGGGTTCTGATGCCTGGCAGGGCTTCAGGGTTGTATAGTGAATAGCACATGTGGATACAGCTAGATATCCATTTAGGTAATCTTTGCATGGATATGGTAGAGCCCTTAGACCATTCTGTTGTTGACACAAAGGGCAGGGTGATTTTCAGAAGGGTTTTGTTCTGTCCAGGTGAAAAGCTAAGACACAGCGCGCATCCAACATGTGCAGGGTCGCCTCATACGTGTTAGTGTGTGGGTCTGGATGAAACGCACATACATGGATTGGTTGGTTTAGGTGGAATGAATACGAAAATTTTGGCAAAATTTAGGGTGTGTTCTAAGTATTACTTTATCCTTGAAGAATATGGCATATGGGGAGTGAGACATGAGAACCTCTATCTTGCTGACTGTCCATGCTGATGTAATAGCAACCAGAAATGCCACTTTCATATATAAATGAAGTAATAGGTATGTCGCTAAAGGTTTGAATGGGGCTCTGGTTAGCCTTTGGAGCACAAGGTTTAAGTCCCATGCTGGTGTGAGTTCTTGGATGTCTGGGTACATGTTCTGTATGTCTGTTACAAATAGTTTAGAAATGAGAAAATATTGAGGTCCCGTCTACCTCTTGATGGAAGGCTGTGATGGCAGCAAGATGAACTTTAAGCAATCTCATAGCAAGTCCTGAGTTCTTTAGGGATAATAAGTATTCCAGTATTAGTGGAAGCGGTGCCTGTCTTGCAGATATTTGTTTGGTCTGGCACCATAAAAAGAATCTTTTCCATTTTTGGAGGTAAGTAGTATGTGTGCTATGTTTCCTGCTGTTTATTAACACTTGTTTTACTTGTTCTGAGCAGGTTAGTTCATTGCATTGGAGCCATGCTTTCAGCTGAAGTCTCTCCGGGTCCGGATGGAGGACTTGAGTGTCATTCTGAGAGAGAAGATTCTGTAGACGAGGGAGAGTGAATGGTGTGCAGATCACTATGCGTGACAGGTAAGGGAACCAAGTCTGTCTAGGTCGATACTAGGAGGATTATTTTGGCCCTCTTGGTTCATATTTTGTGTATTACCCTGGAGATCAGAGGTATCAGTGGGTATGCATATAGGAGGGGAGCATTCCATTTGATGAGAAAGGCATCTCCTAGGACTCATGCTCCCAGTCCTGCTTGTGAGCAAAACTTTGGGCACTTTGTGTTTACTAATGTCGGGAACAGATCTATGTGTGGGGATCCCATACATGAAATGTGTTGTAATATTTCGTTGTTCATTTCCCATTTGTGTTCTTGGGGAAACAGTCTGTTTAATGTGTCCACCATTATGTTCAGTTGACCTGGGAAGTATGCTGTGGTAATAGTGGTGGTTTTTTTTATGAACTAGTTCCATAGTTTTAAGGCCTTGGTGCATAAGGAGTGGGATCGTGCTCCACCATGTCAGTTTATATATAACATACATGCAATGTTGTCCATCAGGACGCTTGTCGTTTTTCCATGTATAATAGGGAGAAAATGTAGGCAGGTGTTGCGGACCATGTGTGATTCAAGCAGATTGATGTGTAAGTGTGTTTCTGTGGGGGACCATTTGCCTTGGATTGTATGTTGGTTCAGGTGAGCTCCTCATCAGATCAGTGAAGCCACTGTTGTGATTTGTATGGGTGGTGGATCTTATTGAAACGGGATGCCTGAACAAAGGTTTATTGGGTTTGTCCACCATCGTAGTGACCTCTGGGGTCGGTGTGAGTCTTTTGTTTAGAATGTGCTTCTGTGGGATGTATACCAAGCTCAGCTGTCCTTGGAGGCAGCACATGTGTAGTCTGGTGTGTGTTACAATGAAAGTGGTAGCCGCCATACATCCCAAGAGTTGTAGGCAGGTGCATGTAGATACCCACGGGCTGTCTGAGACCACTGATATGAGGGAGGTCATTGCTGTGAATCGAAGCATTGGCAATGATGCTTTGGCCTCCACTGAGTCCAGGTGCGCTCCTATGAAGTCAATTGTTGTACTGGAGTTAGAGTAGATGGATGGTAATGTGAAAATACACATTTTGTAGGTCCAGAGCTGAGAACCAGTCCCCCTTGTCCAGCGTAGGGATGATAGTGTACAGGGTGACCATTTTGAATCTGTGGGTACAGATACCTTTGTTGCGTTTCCTGAGATCAAGAACGGGTCTCCATCCTCCATTTTTCTTTTGGGTCAAGAAGTAATGGGAGTAGAACCCCTTCCCACAGTGTGTCCTGGAATGTGTTCCACAGCACCTAGCTGTACAAGATGGATTACCTCTTGCTGAAAAAGATGCTCGTGAGAAGGGTCCCTGAAGAGGGATGAGTAGGTGGGATGGAGACGAAAGTACGATCTGATTACACCATCTCTATCTCTAGTACCCAGTGATCTGTGGTGATGGATGCCCACGCTCGATAAAATGGCCGTAGTCAGAGGCCAAACATCTGGATAGGTTGTGTAATATGTGCTGACTGCCGTGGGAGGTCGATCAGACCCTTGATCAAATCTTCAAAATTGCATCTTGGCCGGTGGTGCGTATGATGCAGTTGACTGGGACTGAGGTGGTCAGCATCTCTGGGGACGATGTCTTTGGCGTGAATTCTCGAAAGGTCTGTCTGTGAACCAATGTGTCCCTCTTTCGGTTATAAGGTTGGTATCTCCTGGGTCTATTGGGGGTATATCTATGCCCACAGTTCGGAGCGTTGTTCGAGAGTCCTTCACTGAGTGTAGGACTTCGACAGTCTTTGCGGAAAATAATTTTTCTCTGTCAAAGGGAAGGTCTTTAATCTGGAGGTACTCGGGGATTCCGGAAGATTGTAACCAGGATGCCAGTCTCATGACTATAGCTGTAGCCGTCGCGTGAGCGGCCACGACCATGACATCAAGGGATGCTTGTACTGCAGTCCTCGGAGACAGGCATAGCGTCCTTACATGAAGTGCAGTGTTTAAAACCAGGGGAGCCTGGCATTTTCATTGTCCAATTTTGTCATAGTACAAGGAGATAGAAACTGAGAGGAGAGCTTTCAGAGTGTAAAAAAAACCAAACCAAACCAAAAAAAACCACGCAGGAAAGTCTAAGTGGTTAACTGGAAACCTAAGATTAACTATGAACTAACTGCTGGGAACTCAACTTAGCAATAACTATTTCTAAATATTTTCTAGGTAAATTTCTGACACTGCTGTTGGAGCTCTCTCTGCAGCCGAGGACAGTTGAGAAGGAACCGAGTGGGTTGGGACACAAGATGGCTACTGCGCACATGCGCCCTGACCAGGCACTGCTCCTAAAAATCTCCAATCAGTGGCGCTGGGGCGCACCGACACCTGAAGTGGAGCACCAACAGGGACAGCACTCGAAGAACTGTATTTATGAGGACCCCTTCAGAAGCACGTAACACAAGAAACAACTAGGTGTAATACACTGTAGGCAGCATATGTGCATCATTGGCTCAACTTGATGGAAAGTCAGGTATGTATCATAAGCCTTAATACTGCTACATTTAATAAAGATTCTCTAAATGCTAGGGGCTTGTGATTGTGGAGTAGAATGATGCAAGTTCCATTTCTGCTGACAGCTGTTAAGTCTGGGGGAACTTGGATCTGTTATACAGTCCATTACAGACAGAAATGATTCAGCTCTATTCATTGGCCAAACACCCATGTTCAAATTAGCAACCCTTTTTTTTACTTTCTAAGAGAAGCCAGGGAGACAGCACCACTCAGCTGCAACTTTGGGAGTCCCTTAAAGCTTCAGGTAGCACCATATAGGTAAGCACTAAAAGCCACAGTATTGATGTGTCTGTGACATCTTTTACACCTTATGATACAACAAAAATGAAATCACTCTACCATATATCTTCCTCTGAGTCTTGCAAGACTCTTTCTCCTAAAATACCTCTAGAGGTTTAGCTTAACAGCCTAACTAATGGACTGGGGATTCCCCTGGACTAATGTATATCCTTATCACACAAGTAATATCAGTATTTGCTCAATTAACCCTTTTATTCAACTGAATTTGCCTCAGGCAGGGGAGAAACTGCTTATACTCTTTTCACTGGAAATTGCAAATGGACAACTAACCTGAGATCGAAGTTCTCTACTTGTTTTACACACACACACATATATGTGGTCCACTGAACATGCCATATCAGCTCTAGTCTCATGTCTATGCTCTTGTATACTGCCTCTGGTTTCATGGCTAATCCTGCTTGGTGTTTTCACCTCTATGGTCTTGCATCCATCCCCACCCTGAGTTTTGGCCCCTCTAATCTCATGTCCACACTCTTCGGTCTCGCATCCACTTTGTGGTTACATACTTAGTTTATAGATTTTAAATGTATACTGTAGTCCTTGAAGGCTCTTCCTTCTTTTTCTCAGCACTGGTTTTTCTCCTTATTTCTCCACATTCTCCCTCACCCCAGAAAGTTTTACACTGTCCCCATTTTCACTTTGACTCTGTCACACTAGGAAGAAGCTGGATAGGATTCACTGCCACATTCACCGCAAGGAAAATGTCAGCAGAGAAGGGCTGCGGTTCCCATTGCTAAAGCCACCTTTCCCGTTGTAAGGTTAACCCCTAGTGGTCCCCATATACCCATACCACACCTTATAGAGGTAGAATAGGAGAAAAAGTGTACTATAAAACCCCACACTCACACTGGAACTAAGTCCACCAGCCCTCCCACTGCAGCAGCTAGGCCCACTCATCTCCCTGAATCTGCTTGCTCTCCTCTGCTGTGTACTACATCTTCATGGCAATCAATCCCATGGGAGTTGCTGCTGCTTATCCATGCAGATAGGCATCAAGCCAGAGTTCCCCCGAATCCTTCAGAGAGCTGCAGAGGGGAGAGAGTTAGAGCCCAATTAGTCAGCAAAGGAGACTGAACATAAAATCAAGAAAAAAAATTACAGGGGTGAGACAGAACGCAATAATCTAGTGTGAAGCCCCATCTCCCCTGTTGAACTCTGGAAGGACAAGAGGTGATGGGCTCAGAGCATGCGTGACAGCATTCAGCCACTGGACTACCTGAGAATGCTTCCTCACAATATGAAGCTCTTTCTGAGGTTTCTACAGAGCTTTCTAGGCCATTTTGCCACTGCTGACTGAGAAGTACTGATGAGGGAAGCACATATACCAAAGTGCCCAGAGGAAACAAAGCATCAGAGCTCTGACACTCTCCAGTGAGAGAGAGATGGGGCAGGAAGAAGAAATAAATTTTCACTACTGCTTAGAAACAAACCCAAACATGTAAAATAAAGTTGAAATCAATACAGGCAAAAGAAGCCTGAACCTCAGCTTTTTCCACTGGGAGAAAGAACTCTGCTGAGCTGTTTTGAATACCCACACCGACCAAAGTGCAGCCCAACAGTGATAGGGGCTGATATCAAGATCCAGAGAAATCACACTCTTCCTCCGAGGGATTAGGTGAATGCTAATAGAGAGCCCATATACAAACCAAACCAAAGTAAATTTAAAAGACCAGTGATAAATTGAGTACAAACTTACTCAATAGTAGCACATTATTGTACATCTAAATGGTTTGCCTAAGACCAAGTCCTTGTGTACTAATCATGAGACCAAAATTATGTGGCAGGACCCCTTAATTCTGCCCCTTTGTTTGTCCATTTTAGGCATTGAATGAGGCAAGGGTCTGGGGCAGGGGGGACTGTATGTGATCATGCAATTAAAGACATCATCATAATGCATATGGAAAAGATTACAGAACTATGGTTGTACATTCAACTGCAAATTTGGTATTTCCTAACTTTCAAGTTCTTGACTTTGCAAACTAACTAATCTTTTCATGAGGTTGTGTGTGTGTGTGTGTAATTTCCTAGGTTTTTCTTAAAAAGAAAGGTAAAAAACAAATTCCATTATGTGCAACTCTAATAACCTACATCCCTCCTCCAAAACCCATCATGAATGATCAAGAGGGTTTGAGCCCTAAACCTTCACAGGGCATCACAGGATATTATTACTCAAGTTACCGAACTAACAACATTAACTGGCAGCAGGAGAACGTAGTTTTCCCAGAAGAGGGAATAGGGGGACAACCCTGTCCCTCTCCCCTTCTTCCGCAAAGTTGGAGTAGCTCTTGACCCATGTGTTCCCACACAGGAGGGACTGGCCACTGTTACCCTGTGCTGGGTGAAGGATAGTGCTTGGAGAGAGCCCAGCCTCTGCCTTCCTTCCTGTAGGGGGGAGTTGGGGGAGCTTCTGGCCCATGTGGGGCCTCAGTAAGTGTAAATGGGCCACTGGGGTGGGGGGCGAGAAGCTTTAGGAGAGAGACAGCTGCTGGCTGGCTGGCCATACCATGCCACCCTTACATCTGTGCTGCTGCCTTCAGAGCTGGGCACCCGGCCAGCAGCTGCCACTCTCTGCTCTGGCTTCAGAGCTGGTTAGCAGTATATGTACTTGTGTGGTGGGAGCCATGGGGGAGGGAAGGCAGAGCGTAAACGACTACAGACACAAAGAAGCGGGGCACGATAAAATAAGTTTGAGAACCACTGCTTTATAATGGAACATGCTGGGCAATGTAAGAAGAGGGATTACTACCAGCTCCCCCGCATAATTATTCACATGCAGTACACACACACAGAGCTTTTATATAGAATGCTTGTAACAGGAGGTGTTTGTCCTCACTGTCTCTTGATGTTCTTTTAAGGGTAGCAGTATGGAACCAGGAAACCCACTGAACTCCCCTTATGGAGAAACACAGAAGAAATGGACAAACACAGAGAAGAAAGATTCAAAGACAGGTGGAAAGAGCTGGAGGAGGGTAAAACAATGGACATTCTGTAGATTTATGCAATGTGAACACACAAGGGGACTTGCATAATATCATTTGCTGCTATTTGCACAGCCACCTAGTTGTATCATACGAACCTAGGCCTAGACTGGAAGCTATGATCTAGAAGTGAAAGACTCAGTATCCCATTCTAAGGCAGCGGTTCCCAAACTTTTTGCCGTCGTGACCCCATTTTAATTAATTATTTCCTTCCAGGACCCCAGACAACATGGAGGATACTATTTTGAAAAGCAAAATGGGTGTCCTCTGCACAGTACGACCTTGCATAAATGGTACTTGTGAGGTCACGCCATATGGGGGGTGCCATTTTGTTCTACCAAATTGCATTTTCTGCACTGCATGATCCTGTATGTATTATGCATGCACAGTCACAATGTGCAGACCAAAATGGTGTCCTCCACACACTAGGATCGCTGCAACTGACGGAAGAATCCCATGCACTGCTACAGCCTAGGGACCGAATGGCGAGGCAGCAGTTCTGCAGAAAAGGACCTAGGGGTTACAGTGGATGAGAAGCTGGATATGAGTCAACAGCGTGCCCTTGTTGCCAAGAAGGCCAATGGCATTTTGGGCTGTATAAGTAGGGGCATTGCCAGCAGATCGAGGGATGTGATCGTTCCCCTCTATTCAACATTGAGGAGGCCTCATCTGGAGTACTGTGTCCAGTTTTGGGCCCCACACTATAAGAAGGATGTAGAAAAATTAGAAAGTGTCCAGCAGAGGACAACAAAAATGATTAGGGGACTCGAACACATGATTTATGAGGAGAGGCTGAGGGAACTGGGATTGTTTAGTCTGCGGAAAAGAAGAATGAGGGGGGATTTGATAGCTGCTTTCAACTACCTGAAAGGGGGTTCCAAAGAGGATTAATCTAATCTAGACTGTTCTCAGTAGTAGCAGATGACAGAACAAGGAGTAATGGTCTCAAGTTGCAGTGGGGGAGGTTTAGGTTGGATATTAGGAAAAACTTTTTTCATTAGGAGGGTGGTGAAGCACTAGAATGCGTTACCTAGGGAGGTGGTGGAATCTCCTTCCTTCAAGGTTTTTAAGGCTTGACAAAGCCCTGGCTGGGATGATTTAGTTGGGGATTGGTCCTGCTTTGAGCAGGGGGTTGGACTAGATGACGTCCTGAGGTCCCTTCCAACCCTGATAGTCTGTGATTCTATGAACCCTGTCTGCTGATGGTGTGATCGACTCACAATCTTTAATGTATTTGTTCTCAATATACCCCTGAGAGCCCTATTAGCCTATTTTACAAATGGGGAACTGAGGCACAGAAAGGCAAAGTGACTTGCCCAAAGTCACTGAGGAAGTCTGGCAAAATAAAAATTGAATCTGGGTCTCCCAAGTCTTAGGCTAGTGCCCTAACCACTGGGCCATCTTTACTGTGAGTCATTCACAATCTTGAGTCATCCAGTCCCAACCCACCTATATCCTGCATCCCTCTGTCTCAACACCTGACCCCATCTTGCCAGCAATTATTGCACCAACTCTTTCTGTTCATACTTACCGCAAAATGTCTGCAAAGCCAGTGAGCAGAGGCTTGCTCTGGTACTCGATGTCATGTTTGGCACATAGTGACTTCACCAGGGGGGCCACCTTCCAGTAGTTGTGTCGTGGCATCCTAGGGAAAAGACTGTGGAGAGATAATGAGGCTGTTTCAATAGGATCTAAACTCTTCAGTGCTCTGCAGAAATCCCATCCCTCCTGCAGGGGCCAGTACTCACTGGTGCTCCATTGAGAATTCCTGCCTTTTTTGATGGATGCATTACCTAGTGGTGCCCCTGGGAGTTCCTTCCCCCTCCTGCTGAGACCCATTGCCACTCGTGCCTCCTGGGAATTTCCTCTCCTCCTGAGGTGCCTATACTCACTGATGCTCGATTTGGAAGTTCAGGTGCCCAGTTAACCAGTCGTTGAACAGGGACTGATCCACGTTGCATGTCGCCAGGAGCTAGGGGAGAAAAAGAGAGAAATGAGCATAGATCTATGGAAGTGGATTAATTGGTACCAACCCCTGACCTCCACTTTCCTCTAACTTGAGCAGGGTTGCCTGGGGGTGGTGTGGAGATTACAATTCCTTGTTCATTAGAACAGGGAGACCAGGCCTAGGTGAGAATGGCATGCTAGGATATGGAATAGTTACTGCATTAATCAGGTCCTCACTCAGTAGGAGTGACATGACCTCGACAGTTGGACCGGCATAGACCTGTCCTCCCTCTCCTTATCTCATATCTTCTATTGGGGAAAAATGGCCACAGGATCAAGGAAGCAGAAGGGAGAAAACTATCAGAGCCTCTTACGCAGGGAGAACTGTATGTGAGTACTCTGGATCAGGCAGCTTCTACCTGCCAATCTCTTTGCTTCCATGTCTATATGTTCTCATTCTGGTTTTTACATCAATGCAGTCTCATCTAACCCCCAGTCAGTCCAGGCTTCATTCCCACACCTTCCCACACAGATGATCACAAGTCTCCTCTCCCAATATCTCATCATCCATGGGCTCCTTGTTGACCTTTATCCCGACTGCAAAATTTCATGTATGCTCCCTGTGTCCCTGACCTGGGATTCACACCCACAGACCCTGGTAAAAGATTGTCTCTTACCTGTGTAGAGAACCAGTCCATATTGTTATCATAATCAATGTGCATAGGGATGTGGTTCAGTTGTGATATCCAGGTAAACAAGATACTCTCTAGGACGCTGTGCAGATACAGACAAAGCAGTCATTGCCACATACAGTCACAGCAGATAGAGACTCACATCAAGCCAACCCAAGAACTGCGACCCAAGCCAAATGTTGCCAGATAAGACCCCAGTCCAAACCGGCAACAGATAAGTAACTGGCCACCTCATCCAAAGCACTGACTGCTCAGTAAAATGCCCATGCAAACTCGCAATGGCCAGTAACATGCCTGCAATCTCAAACCAATGTCTGCCTGGTAAAGCACTTTCTGGTTAGTAAAAGGCCCCCTCAGACCCACCAGAATGAGTGGCTACCAAGTATAACTTCTCTCTTATGTTCCAACCAGTGAGTTGTCAGTAAAAGGCCCCCACAAAAGTGAGGGCAATGTATGGAAAACATAATTTGTACGCTTATAAGAGAGAAAGCAATGATAGGGAAAGGGAGAAAAGCAGTGGCCAGAGGCAATCACAGATGGGAAGGAATGCACTATGAGGGCAGAGAAGAGGGGTCAGTCAGTCAGGTGTGAGTACCAGTAGGCAGAGGGAGTCATGGCTAGAATGAGGATTACTTGAGCAGCAGGAGGAAACCCAGGACACCTGTCACTCCCAGTAAGGGCTCGAAGAAAAGAAAGAATCGGATGAAGTAGGTCAGAGTCCAAGCTAGTTCCTGTGAGACAGAAGGAGAGAAACCTTCATCAGGACAGCAGTTTACAGCAGAACAGTACCTCACCACCATCCCGCAATGGGAGGAATAGAAGCCCCAAATCCCCCCATGTAAGGCTCACTCTGTGTCTATCCTTTGCAGCTCTCCTCAATTCTCCCATATCAGTGAGGATACAGCTTGGGAAGTTTCCTTGTAACCTGCACTAATGGTCTATGTATTGTGGATTTCCCCCATTACCTCACACCAGAGAGAGTGCCCAGCCTGAGAAACCTCACCCAGAAAGGCCCACTCACTGTTCCTGCACTATAGCTTCCCTCAACTTCCGTGGAGTAGCAGGAATCCAGCTCAAGAAATCAATCCTCTAAGCCTCACTGGCTGCCCCTGCATTCTAGTTCCCTTTCACCACCTCAGAGCAACATGAATCCAGCCCCAGAAAATGCCTTGGATCCATATGCTGTAATTCCCCTCCACCATTCTAGACAAACAAGGGCCTGGTCCTAAAACCTCCTCAGTTAGAAGAGCAGCTGCCTGTTTGCAAAGGTTTGTGGGAAATGCTGAGTGCACTTACCCTCCATAGTTTGCGCTGGAATATGAAGTACAAGGAGTAAAACTGGAACACTGGAACCACAAGCAGGGGCATAGCTGGAGAAGAAAACAAGAAGAGTAGAGACATTAACAGCCTCACCTAGTTAATGAACACCCTGGAAACCAGAATGAAAGGAGAGCTCTGTGCAGTGCTCATCACCAAACTATGCTTCCAAGAGATTTCGCTCCTCATCTTCCTTCCTTACTCTTCTCCTCACTCCCCTTCCTTTCTCCCTCCATTTTATACATTCAGAGGCCAGCAATCTGTAGACAACTCTCAACTTGTGCCTGCTTCCAACTGAATGCAAATCGTACCATCTCCCTGCACCTGAGAGTCAACAGGTGAACCTGATGCTACACACCATCTTTCTGAACTCATCAGTGCTTCTGAATACCCAAATAGCTACAGCAGTGAAATTGCACTCTTCTATCCACTGGTAGCCTGGAGAGTGCACTCCTTTTGGTCAGATTTGGACTTGGTCATGATGATCCACATTTTCATGACCTCCAGGCTTGACTTCTGTAATGCAATATATCAGAATGAGCACAATATCCTGTAAAGTGTTCCAGCTGGCTCGATATGTGTGTGGGTTGCTGCATTTTAACACAGACCATGGACAGTGCATGACTCTGGCACTACACTGTATGCCAGCTCCCTGTCAAATACTGAATGAAGTTCAAGGTTTTGATCCTGATCTTTAAAGCCCTCCATTGTATTGTTCCTATCTCCCTGACAGCCCATCTCACTCTCCATAATCTCCACCTTGCATTAGAGCTACATTTGTCTGTAATAATGGAATTGTCAATCACCTCAGCAGCACCTCTCCACCTCTGGACAGAGACAAAGACTCTTCTGAGTAATAACATTTGTATCTATAAGGTGCTCAGATAGCATAGTGACGGTAGGGAATAGATGGATTCTCCCTCCATCCCCTCCCCATCTCCTCTCCTCCATGACTACTCCTTAGTTTCCTTTAATCTGTCCCTCTCATTTTATCTACTTCTTCTCAATTACCCTCATCTCTCCTCTCTTTGCTTTCACCTTTTTGCCATTGCTGTGTGTCAGTTGCTTTAGCACATGAGGTGACAATTTCAGCCATGGATTGTGTACCCCAAGCACTGTAATCTCCTATAAGGCTGTCGTGGGAGAGAAGTCCTCTCAACCCCTGGGATTATTTAATGTAGGAGTTGGTGGTGATCGTTAGACAAGGACCTATTGGGCAAAGCAGGTGTACTCACTGATGATGAAATAATTGTGCTGATGATTGTAAGGCAGAAACTTCTTCTTCTTCATGCCGAGCTGTAAAAAAGAAGGGATCATGGCAGGTCAGCTGAGCAAGAGAAACGCCCACTCAAATTTCATTGCCTCCTCCTCCTCGAGATACACCTGCTCAGAGATCTAAATCCATTGAATTACAACAGCATAAGGAAGATCAGAAGAGGCCTCATTACATCATTATATACTATTTCACACACAGAAAAGGAGTACTTGTGGCACCTTAGAGACTAACCAATTTATTTGAGCATAAGCTTTCGTGAGCTACAGCTCACTTCATCGGATGAAGCTCACGAAAGCTTATGCTCAAATAAATTGGTTAGTCTCTAAGGTGCCACAAGTACTCCTTTTCTTTTTGTGAATACAGACTAACATGGCTGTTACTCTGAAACCTGTTATTTCACAAACAATGCAATATAATAAACATGTTCCCTACAATCTCAAATACATACATGTAGCATCTTGTAATTTTTTTTTCCACTCTTGCATACTTAATGTCAGTGACATACTGGTCCAGAAACTTTACACCCAAAATTGTCTTCTGTCTAAGGAGCATATTCTAGAAGAAGATATAAGACCAGGTGGCCTTATAGAAAAACCTGAAGGAGGGCGCCAATTGGGAGGAATACTTCACAAGATTCCAGTTGAGGAGTTTTCTCCAAATTCTTCCTTTATGATGCAGGGTTCACCATCCCTCCAGAAGAAACTGGAGGTTCATAAATTGTGGATATTGGAGATCTGCTGGCAGCCATTGTCACAACCCAATGGCCCCCATCCTCAGGGTGTCCCCTGGGGAAGCAAATCAGAATTGTACGTTGCTAACATGGTTAAAGGCATTGAAAAGTATTCTGGGAAAGGTTAAAGGTGTGAGTTCCTTTGCAGATTGCAAAAGGCTGAAGAGAGAGGAAAAGAGAAAAGAATGGATTAACTTGACAATTCAGCTAGGCTCGAAGATAAGGGGCGAAACTGCCGCTCAAGGCCAATGCACACACAAACAAGCTCCCTGCTGCTAAACAACCAAAAGCCTGTGGGAAAGGAGAACTGAACCAAACAGACCTGAAAGGGGGGTTCAAAACTAATAAGAATGTGAAGCTCAGCAAATGGTAACATAACTGTCTCACGACCCTGAAGCCAATGTGTTTTGAGGAAACCAAGAAAGTCTCAGAAGGCCAGTTTGGACTGGTTCCAGAGAGCACGGGAGACAAAGGTCCCTGAACAGAATGCCCCCAAAAGACCCCAGGACTTAAAACCCTCCTGAGAGCTAAAGCAAATTGGAAATCAACAGAGGACCCTAAATGACCCGTGCACGGAACAAGAACTCCTGTCCATCCTTCCCCCTCTTCTTCTTATGTTACACCCAGGCTTGGCCAGCCTCGGGTAGTGCGGGTGTGAGTATGAAAGTGGGTTAGAGCTTGGGGCACGAATGCTTTCTTCCTTCCTCTGAGTGACATGGGGAACATCCCCCCCACCAGCACTCTCTGCTGTTATTTTATTATTTTATCAATAACACTTTAAAACTCAGTTACTTGGTGTGCTCCATCATCTCCTCCCCTAACAATCCTGTGGCCTCAGCCTAATCACCTGACACCTCAGGCAGATTGCGAACAAAAATCTGTCACACCATCACCATTTGTGCTAAGGCCCTGTGCCTCCACACTAGCTCTGCTGCCCCTGCTCCAACTCCACCCAAGTTTTCTAGAAGAAAGGCCACCAATTTCTGCACAGAGGGGGTCTATGAATAGGTTAATGCAGTATCTGTCCACCACTTTCCCTGCAAAGTTGCTAGCACAATGCCATACCTGACCTCACCTACTGATCTCAGGACCCATGTGGAGGGGCATGTAGCTGCAGAGGTGGCCGATTTCCCCACTCTTCCATGTGAAGTGGGTGAGAATCAAATGTGAAGGGGACCCTCCATGTGCAGGTCTCAGATGCCTCATCATGATTAATGGCAATAGTGGGTATTGGCAGATCTCTCCTCCTGCTGCTAAGGATAGACTCTTGATATTCATTTGGGTTAATATGGATACCTCTACGCTGCGGCTGGGAGCGAGCTTCTCAGTGCAGTAAGACAGACATGCACTAGCTGTGCTCAAGCAGCAAGCTAAAAATAGCAATGTTGTTGTGCGCAGGTTGGGCAGTGGCTTGGGCTAGCTGCCCGAGTACTCAGGGGGGTCAGGTGGGTTTGTATTCCTGCTGCCTATGCTACCCTGACTACACTGCTATTTTTCATGCACTAGTTCAAGCAGAGTTAACGCACATCTGTCAGCCCATGCTGGGAAGCACGTAGATGTACCCTTTGTCTCTAAAAGGTCAGTGATATACACATACACACATTTGTTATAGGAAATAGAGCTTAGCTCTGTCACAGTTAAGTGATGTCACTCCAGCAGTTAATGAAGTTAGGTTGTGTGTCAAAGTTCCTCCTCTGCCTTCGTGGGTCCTGCGCTTATTGGCAGATTTGCTCGCCTCAGAGATTCACGGCAGCCCTCAGTTTAGCCACTTTTGCCAGTGGGTCAAACCTGCTGTTCACTTAGTTAACCTCATCACTGGCCAGTATGGGGAAAAGGAAGGAGAACAATCCCTGCAGTCTCTGCTGGTCCACCTAGTGGATAGGGGAACAGGCCAGGGACCTTCCCCTCTGGTGGGACCCACAGTCCAGGTCAACTTTTCCTGTATCCAATAGGAAGTTGGGGGTGGGTGGGGGGAACCCACGCCCACCCTCTACTCTGGATTCCAGCCCAGGGCCCTGTGGATCACAGCTGTCCACAGTGTTTCACGTAACACCTGTGTGATAGCTACAACTCCCTGGGCTACTTCCCCATGGCCTCCTCCCAACATCTTCAGTATCCTCACCACAGAACCTTCCTCCTGATGCCAGATAGCGTTTGTACTCCTCAGTCCTCCAGCAGCAGCATGCCCACTCACTCTCTTGCGTGCCCCACACTGACTGAAGTGAGGTCCTTTTTAAACCAGGTGCCCTGATTAGCCTGTCTGCCTTAATTGGTTCCAGCAAGTTCCTGATTGTTCTGGAACTGCCCCTGTTACCTTACCCAGGGAAAAGGGACCTGCTTAACCTGGGGCTAATATATCTGCTTTCTATCACTCTCCTGTAGCCAACTGGCCTGACCCTGTCACAGTTGGAACTGTTAGATTGGTCTATAAGGGGGAGAGGTACCAATAAGTAGCATTGTGCAAAGCTCTAATACAGTGGGTGTTAGATTGTGGCGCATGGAACACAACCAGGTGATCCACAGAGCTGCTTTTGTCACAGTGGTGAAGCACCAGGAGGCATCACCGCTTGAATACTATCTGTCTTGATTTTTATACTAAGCCCATATTTTTATGGACTTTTTTATTGCGGGGAGGCTAAGCCATATAACTGAGTGTTGCTCTTTGTCCTGAAGATAGTGAGATTTCTCATTCTCACATGTTCCATGGGTGAGAGTTCTGTCTCCAATGGTCAATAATCTCATCCTTCAAGTTGACGGTTCCATGGTACCACAGGAACATAGCAGTGAGTAGTCATAGTCTCACTGAAAGAAAAGATTCTCAGGTAACTGGGCTAATCCCTGGACAGTTTTGAATATTGGGACCAAAACTCTGCAAATCATTCTGTATTGCCTGGAGAGCCAATGCAGAGAGAGGAGCACAGAGGCAATGTGCTCTCAGAGGCCTTGGCTGATGAATAGGCAGCTTGTGCATCCTGAACCAACTGGAGCTTTTTGCGGGGTCTGTGGTTCATTCATAGATATGATGAATTGCAATAATCAAGCGTGAAGTTCACAAATGTATGGATTACTATGAACAAATCAGTGTATGACAGGACTGGATACACATTCTGACCAGTCATATATATAGATGAGGGCATTTTTAGCAGCCAGTTATTTGAGTATCTCAAAGTAGTGGGTGGGTCATTGCTTGCTAGGTAGCTGTTCATTGGCAGGAAGGGAACATGTGCAAGGGTCAACAAAGTTAGCAAAATTAATTAGCAAAGAAACAACAAAGTTCCTGTCCAGGGAGAGTGCCTGATACCCTGCTCCCAGGTGGAGAAGCTTCTCAAAGGAGGGAGAGGACTACAAAAAGAAAAGCAGGATGCCCCAAATGATCTTTCCCCTTGCTCTGCCCATGGCATTCACGACATCTGAAGAACAAAGGAAGCAGCATTGGACTATGGGAGCGATCCTAATGGAAAGAAGTTCAGCCAGTAGAACTGCTGAAGCATGTGGGGAGAGAGACTTTGCTTTGGATTTACTCATTTGTTAAATTAGGCATTAGTTGCATTTTACCTTTATTTTACTTGTAACCAACTCTGACTTTTATGCCTTGTTACTTGTGTTCACTTAAAATCTCTTTGTATTTAATAAACTTGTTTTATTGTTTTATCTAAACCAGTGTGTTTGGACTGAAGTGTTTGGGAAACTGCATTTCAGGATTTGTGCACATCATTTTCTATTAATAAAATGATAGACTTTCTATGAGCTTGTATTGTCCAGGAGAAAGCTGGGCAGTACAAGACGTACATTTCTGGAAAAAGCCTGGGATTGGGAGGGTGCTTATGTCACCCTGCAGTGTGGGTCCCACTCTAATGTCACCCTGCAGTGTGGTTCAAGAGTGGCTGGCTGCAGCACTCACACTCTATAGCTCAACGTGACTTACATTCTGAAGGCTGTGTGAGAGCAGATCAGGAGTGGTAACTACTGCAGCAAAACAGTCTGAAGGGCACCCTAGGTAAGAGGGCTGAGGTGACACAGCTGATCATCAGTCTAGATTGTATCCTGGGCATGTCACAGAGAGGAAGTAGGAAAGGGAAATTAATCTGGCGTCTTAAGGAAACAGAGGTGAGAATCAGCCCATCCTGGTGTGTGGTACACCTATCTGATATAGGCAAATGTAGGCCACAACAAAAGCTCTCCCTCATTTGCTAGTTGCCTTGTTTGCCCTGTTTTCCTTTCATCTTCTATTCTCTGTTTCTCTCTTCCTTTTTCTGTTTCTGATAGAACCCAAAGAGATTTCAGGCAGCAGATCTGTATCCCATCCTTGCCCCTTGCAAGATCCAGTGATTAGCTTGTTCCCAAACATACACCCTCCTGATTTCAGATGCTTTTAGCATCATATCTTTTCAGTGGTCTAAAGAATTCCTAACCCACCCCCACACTCACCTCCACAGAGAGAATCTTTCCCAAAGCAAACAAGGAGGGATGCATTGCAATATCAGGGTCCTTTTGGAAGCAGTTGGGCTTGGCATGGTGCTGGGAATGATGGAGAGACCACCACTGTGCTGAAAGCCCCTGCAGGAAAGGAGGAGACCACAGGAATCAGACTACAACACTACCAAAAATTAAATCACCTCATCTGTCACATATTAACCATCTTCCCAGTGTTGCACCACATTCTTCTAATTACATGTACAGTGCAGAATGTCAGTGTAATGCCATCTAAACTGAAAGGGAACCACCCCCAATGGTTGATCAGTTTGCAAAGCAGGGTGAACACCCACAGTATCAGGCACTTACCTTCAGATGGCTCATCACAAACTCATGAACCAAGTGGTTCCATTTGGTACTGCTGAAAACTGAAAGGTGCCCCAAATCGTGCTGCAGAAAACCAGCCTGAGACTGAAAAAGAATAGGATTCATTCAACAAACAGGGCCAAGTTTTAGTACACGGCTGCATCAGGGCCAGGGTGGTGGTATGCTCAGTCCTACCAATTCCTTGAAAACTGGGAGGTCAGTGCTCCCCAACTCAGTGAGACCTTCTCTTCCTAGTACCAGGGAGATGTCCATTCTCTCGAGTGATGTTCTCTCCCTGTACAGTCAGTGCAAGCCAACCCGATGAGAATGCCCTCTGCTGGTATGAAGGAAACCTTTTGTATTGTCAATATACTCTGTCCTAAGGTACCCCTCTGTGTGCAGTGTCCCCTGCCTGAAATCTGTTGAGACTCCATTCAGTGAACTCAAAGGCACTTGCTCCATTTTCACTATCAGAGCATTCAACCCCAGATTGGTAAAAACGTGTTCCTGGTACCAGTAAAGCATTTTTTTTACACTACCAGCTACTTTGGTGGGACGAGAGTAGTGGGTGAAGGGGGGGTTGTGAACTAAGACTGGAGCTAACTCTACAGAAGTAGTTTGAACTCTGTAGAAGAGTACCCTTCCTTTAAGAAGAACCCTCCTCTGGCCTCCTGCCATCTCCTCTGAGCATTAGTAATGCCAAAGGACCAACCAGGCAACTGTGTCTTTCAGTGCTTCTGTGTCCTCAGCTCCAGGGCACCTCATGCTCCCATTTGGGACTCAAGAAAAAGCTTGGTTCATACACAGAATGTGTCTCGAAGTTCAGACTCAAAAGATCAAAGACCAGAAACAACCTTTTTGTTATAAGAAGATTGTGTGGAGTGAGGTTGTCTAGCAGACTATGGGAAGGAGATGTACTGATAGTTCTGACTTCATTCACTCAGTCAGAATAAAACAAAAGAAATATTCCACAGGGTTGAGTTCACTACATGCAGCATCTCTGCCTTAGGCTAACTTCTTTACACAGACTCCTGGGAGAAGCTGTGACTAGAGCTGCTGTGAGCCCCTTAGAAACTGCATTTCTGCATCATTGCCTACTGTACTTCCACCAGCTGGATAAGGCTGAGGACTTGAGAAATTGTGAGCTCCCCACATCCATCACTCCTATGACATTTTCTAAGGTGCCTCTGGCTGGGCAAGACAAGAACTCCAGTAACTGTGAACTCCCCCAAATCAGGATTCCAACAGCATTTGCAGTCCTCTGAGTACCTCTACCTGAACCTTTTATCTTTGGTATTGATACAACCTCAGGTGAAGAAAGAGCATCCTGCTAGTCAGGTGACTAGTCACAGGAAAGATAAGGGGGATGGCCATGTAATAGGAATATGTAACTGGCCCCGAGTGTAAGGAAGGGTAAGCTGGTCCCAAACTACATTCTGTGGGTTGAGGACTTTACCTGAGAAATGGTCAGCAACACTGTAGAGATGAGGAAAGGCACTAAAGATGTCCCAAAATACCAAAGAACAAACCATCCAGCAACATCCAGCATCAGAATGTGCAGGAGAAGCAGGAAGAAGAAGAGGTGGTTGGGGTTGAGGAGTCCCATCCTTTCAACAGTGGTGTGCAGCTCCCGGAAATCCTCTACAAGCAATTTCTGTGGAGAGACCCAAAGTTACAGCACTCTTCACTCTGGGTTGGCAAAACAACAGCTTAAGGAGCCGGCAGGTTTACCCTGCTTCTGCTCTGCAGAGAAGCCACCATGGCAATGAAGGAAACATTTTACCAACCGGTTCTATACCCTCTGAAAGGAGATACTGCAACACTACGGAACAGCCGACAGGCTCTGTCCCCATTGCCAGTCTCTGTACCACTGGGGAGATCCTGTGGCTGACACATTCTTCCCTACTGTCGCTGCTATGTGGGATTCACTGTGAGAATTGCGTATTGGGCAGAAGTCTGTGAGAGACTGGACCGGCCATTCCCAGTGTGAGTCACTATGACACCAGGGGAAGCTCTCAGCCAATGTTTCTTCAGCCTTCCTCCACCAGACACTCTGGTTTCTATATGCAATGTGAAGTCTATTGGGGGTTCTGACAGACTGCACATGAATGGAAATGTGGATTTGCATTTTTCTAGAGCATCCTCCCAATTCCAGATCCAGTTGTGTTTCTGGCCTTTTGTACAAACTCACATTTTTGGTGGGCTCAAAGCTTGGTTGATCCAGGGCCAGCTCCCCGATCTGCAGTGAGCTCATGTACTTTCTCACCAGCCCCTTATCAATGTGAAATGCCTCAAAGGGATCCTGAAAAAACATACAAGTGAATGGAGTGAGAAAAATCCCAGAAGATATTACGCTAACATCTTATTAAGAAGATATTAAGCTAGCCGAAGAAAATTATGTTCCATCTCAGCAGGAAGCAACTCTGGATTAAAATTCAGTAAAATACTGTATGTTTTCTGTTCTATTCTGCATCTGAAATCAATACATTAAAATACTCATTAAAAAAAAAGTTTAACTTTTATAATACCCTAAACTGAGTATGCCTGCAACATTTAATTACAAATGTATACTTTCATATAAAACTCAATTTATTTCAACATATTAAATCATGTTAGATCTGTTTCAAACATGAAAAAAAAATCACAAAAAATATCAAAATTGTTCCCCTTTCACTGGGTTCAAAACAGACCCCTTTTCCTTCCTTCCTTCCTTCAATTATTTGTGAATTTTTAAATCAAAACATTTATCCAAAACATTTTTAAAACGGTTATCAGTGTTTCAGAAATTTTGTAAATAAAAAATTAAATTATTTACAATAATGATTTGTATGAAATAAAAGTTTTGATAACCATTTCCATCATGTTTTTGGTAACCCTTTTAATAAAAAAAATGAAAAAAAATCAAAACATTCTGCAAAAAATGAAAAGTTTCAAAAAGGTGAAGTTTTTTAGGACAAATTTCATTTTCACAAGGTAATATTTTCCATGAAAGTCTTTTTGTTCAAAAAAAATTTCAGTCAGGACTATGTGTTGTATTTAAAAATAGCTTCAAGAAAAAATCCATATGATAAATCTGCGCTCATACATTTACTCTTAAGATTACTGGAGATGTGGCATTAAAGGGGTATAAAAATTGGTAAGAAAGTCATTCTTGGTAGTTTGGACAATGTTCGATGGATTCAAAACATCTTGCTTCATATCTGGGTCATCTGAAAGAGATGCTCCTATTACAGAAAAAATAATCCTTGAAAATTTGAAAGACCTCCTCCGGTCTCTTTCAACCCTAATATAATATAACAAAATATTTTGAGAGAAATGTTCATTTTGTCTCATTTTAAAAGTATCTTTAGTATCTAGAGCTTTAGTATAATCTATTTGAAAATATTGGTAAAACGTTTCCGTTAATTTATTCAACAGACATTGTAAGCACCTTAAGGCAGGAACTGTCTGTTTGTACAGTACATAGCACAATGAGGTCCTGGTCTATAACTGGGACTCTTAGGCACTACTGCAATATAAATTAATTGTTAATGTTATCAGTAATAACACTATCTGACAAACTCTAATGGGACTTGATCCTACTCCCATTCAAGTCAATGGAAAAAACTCCCATTCATTTTGAATGGTGAAGGATTACGCCTTTAGTATGCATCAACTGTCTTAATAATAAAGCTTTAGACAACTCATTAACTGACACAGAGAGAAGATGGGTGGGGTATTAGACCAACTTCTTAGAAGATCTCTGTGTAGCTCAAATGCTTGTCTCTTCTGCCAACAGAAGTTGGCCCAATAAAAGGTATTACCTCACCCACCTTGTCTCTCTCATATCCTGGGACCAACACCACTACAACAACACTGCAAACAACTTGTTAATTGCCAGTTTTACAATATTTCAGTTGGCAAAATGTTGTTAGAACCACATGCCCTCCAGATCCAGCCACAAATAATTTGAACAAACCCAGTCGCGAGCTCCCATGCTCTTTGACCTTCACGACATTTTGCTTTGTGATCCATTACAAAATACAGAGGAACAAAGAAGTAGGATAGCAGAATATTTTTTTAAATGAACCTGCTCCTTTGTTTTTTGTATTTTCATGACACATTTTCTTCTCCAAAGAGCAACAAATTCTCTTTCTCATGTCCTGAACCTCACAAATATAGATAGATTAGATAGATATTAATGAATGAATGCAACAAACTAACAAACCAAAGTTCAGGAACAATATTTAGCTAGGCTGTGCCCTTCTGGCCCTGATCTCCGAGTCAATACTCACAGACATTGAAATTCTGCCCGGCTTTAGGTAGCCACTGACAAAGAGGCACCTGCTGATCCTCAAGAAAGAGTCAAATTCCTAGCATCACTTGAGTGGAAGCCACCACGTAGCACAACCTCCAGAAGATGCTGTGATAGTTGGAAACTGCGGGTGGCGTTTTGAATCAAAGATGCCATTAGCATCGCAGCATATAGGCACATTTATTAACCATAAATCTATGCTAGTGATGCTGGAGTCAGGACTTGTGGTTGCACATTAACCAGCTGAGTGCTTTGAGAGAGAGGGTATGCTCAGAGCCAGAAATATGTACTCTCACTTTGCCAACATCATCCAAGCCAAAGTCAATACCATCTGTGAAGTGCTCTCCATTTCTTCATTCTCCTCTCCCTCCCCTCCTGAATTTCTGTCTTGGAATCCAGTTTCTTTTATTATGTCCATCTCCAGCCTCCAATCCCATAACGTATTTCCTCAACCTTGTCCACTCCCAGTCATTCTCTTATCCTAAATCTCTCCTCTGGTTTTCTCCCCTCTACCTCTAAACATGCAATTATATCTCCAATCCCCAAATATCCTTTTGACACCACTTGTCTCTTTAACACCCATATCCCTCCTCTCCTTCACCTCTAACCTCATGTGAGCAGTTTACTTCTGTGCCCTCCATTTCCTTTCCTCCAGTTCTCTCTTTGACCCTTTACAGTATGAGCTTCACTCACTTCAGAGTAATCTCTGTCACCTATATCCCTAATTACTCTCTCCTTTAGCCGTTTCAAATGGGTCTCTTCTCCATCATCCTTATCCTTGACCCCCGCCATTTCAGACACAGTAGAACAAAGACAGAAAAAGTTCCAGTGGCAGAAGATGAGGCTAGACAAATTTGGACTAGCAGTAAGGCACATGTTTTTAATGGTGAGGGTAGTTTACCATTGGAACGACTTACTAAGGGCTCTGGTGGATTTTCTATCAATGGAAATGTTTAAATCAAGATTGGATGTTTTTCAAAAAGATATCGTTTAATTCAAACAGGAATTAATTCAAGGAAGTCTTATTGCCTGTGATGTACAGGAGATCGGACTAGTTGATCACAGTGGTCCCTTCTGCCTTTAGACATTACAAATCTCTGAAACAGACACTTCTCTGCCCAAGGCTTCCATTGTTCTCCACTTTCTTGGTATCCTCTTACGTTTTTGACTTATCCTTCTAGGACCTTCACATACTCCTTTCTCTATCAGAGTCCTCCAGGTCTCTCTTCTTTTCCTTTACATTCTCTCCTTTGGATAACTATATTCAATGACTCTCCCGGGTTCGGGTATCACCTCCACGCTGTTGTTTCCCAAATTTACCTCTCAACCCCAAACTATTACCATCAGTCCAGTTCCACTTCTCCACCTGTTGCCTATATTCTCCCCTTGGAAATCTCATAGCTACTGAAAAGTCAATGGGCCAAACACATTTCTGATCTAAGATCACTGACTTGGTGGGGTTTCACCAGGACTAATTTGCTCCAGTTTCCTATCTTCCAAGTTGACATCATGGGCATCATCTTTGACTCTTCTTTTTGCCTTTCCTCACAGACAGATTCTGCAAACCCAGCCACTTATTTCTCTACAACAAACTAAGATTTCTGAGTAAAGGAAAGATTAGGGAAAAAGTACTTTCCCTCCTTGTGACCTTTTCTTGAACCACTTTACAGCCAAAATGGCACAGGCTTGAAAGCTGAAACTAGCAGGGAAACAACCCATATCGAAGGTCCTTTGAGACTATATCTACACTGCAGCAGGGTGGTGTAATTCTCAGCTCAGGCAGACAGACACACCTGAGCTCTGCTCAAGATAGTGCACTAAATATAGCAGTGTAGCCATGGCAACATAGGCAGTGGCTTGGGCTAGCCAGTGAGGGGCTGTGTCACCACTTGCCCTGCAACCTGGGGTGCCTCCAAACCTAAGCTCCTCACAATCAGCTTGCAGGTCCCACCCGGAGTGTCTGTGTATAGTCACAGCCCTGGTCCACCAGCTCTGACTCTAACAGACTGCCAGCAAATACCAGCCACACTCTGGCTCCCACCAGCTTTGGTTACTACTTGACGGGTGACCCCAACAGGCTTCCAGTCCCAGTTTTTGCCCCCACAAAATGTGTTCTGCACAGTCCAGCCCTCTCCTGGACAGTCCGCTGGTCTGGATTGCACCCCATACTGTCCTACTTACCCCCTTACCAGCTGGGGCGGGTGGTGTGTCTCATTCTCTCCCTCTCATGTTCACGACCCTGCTCCCCAGCAGCTCACTCCCCCATCCCTCTGCTTGTTCCCATCTCTCCAGGTAGCTCCTAGCCCCTCCAACTGCCCATCCCAATGCCATAGAACCTGCTGGACCCAATATTCTGCCCCCTCCCTGCTAATGGGGCATCACCCAGAAGATTCTGGTGCCTGTTTGAGCAGCTGGAGGGAGGGTGCATCCCCCATCCCAGGCGACACAGACTGACCAGTGCCCAGTATTGGTAACTGTCCCGATGTTTGTGGGACAGAGCCTGAGTTCAAAGGACTGCCCCACGTCCCTCTGTGCTGTAAAGTGGTTCTGTTAACAGCCCAGTTTTTTCCTACTGGGTCCATGTATGGTGCTGGGCTTGAGGCAGAGCTGATGCATACTTCAGGTGGCAGTCAGGTGGCCATATCTCCCCCCAAGAGGACTGGAGCCTCTGCTATCGCACTGCAGAGCTGACAGCAGAGGCAGCACTTTGTGGGTCACCTACAAGCAGCCATGACAGCAGCCTGGAGACCAGACAGCCCTGCAGTGCCTCATGTCTATCCGCAGAAGGGACTGTGCAGGCCCCAGACCCAGCCAGACAGAGATCAGAACAGAGCAACAGAAAGATCCCTGAGCACACGTAGCCCTGTTGCCTGCATGCACCAAGCAGTGGAGCTGAAGGTAAGAGAGACCTGGAGAAGGGGTCTGGTGTCTGCACTGGCCTGGACCTGCCACCACATTCCTTCCAACCCCCTGTATAGCAGATGATAGTGCCAATATGGCCCACTCAT